ACCGTTTGTATTCAGCTTGGAAAAATACCAACAAACTGTAACTAAAATCTGACCTCCGATTCGGATTCCTTGTCAAAGGTTACCTTTGGTCAAGTTTTATAAAAAATGCTAATAATTATGACCTCAAAGACCGCTATATATCAATTTATTAACAAAACAAAGGGTTTTTAAACTTTTTGAATTTCTGGGAAATTAAAATTTCCTAACATATGCCAAAACTGACCAAAAACTGAGTAGATCAAGCCAAAACTTATAGAAACGCCATATAACAATGCGCTCTATAATTTCTGAAAGTTTCAGACTTAACCAATGCATTTTTCTAATTAGGTCTAAAATTCTTCAAATTGTCCACTGTCCTTTGTTAATGGTATGCGCCGTTGATAATAGTTGCCTCTATTTTCAGGTAAGTTCTGCTTCGTCATTCTTCGCGAGAAAAGAATTGTTATCATTTGTTGATGTCATCGTGAGAGTAGGTCTCTTCTTTTTCATGGCTTTTATTGATGTTGTCGCGATTATGAAAGAACGAGCAATAGCAAACACCGGTATGCGTATCCAGTGAAAAATGTGTTGAAAAAAACATCAACTTTTTGCTGTTATTTGCATTTTTAATCTCGACAGCGTCAATAAAAGTCACGAGAAAGAAGAAATCTGCTCTCACGATAATATTAACAAATGATAACAACTCTTTCCTCGCAAAAATGCCGAAGTAAAACTCACCTGTCAATAGAGACAATTATTATCAACGTCGTATACCTTCAACAAAGTTTGAATCCACCTCAACTATATATATCAAGTAAAATACCCTTTAAGGTGTTAAAATGGGTTTCACTTTGAAATATCCTCCTTTTGCTGAAGTTAAAAGTAAAAATTTAATTTATCATTCTGATTTAACAGCAAGCGCGCGGATTTTGTGTGGAAAATAGTTGAAAACTACCAGAGTAGACAGAGGTGCGTCAAAAGCTTGAATTTTACGTGCGAAAGGAACAATCTAGTAGATTTCAATCCTCTATTTTATTGGCACCCTAATTCACACAAAAAAGTTGAGTTTTAACCCACTTTTCTGCATTGATTTATTGTTTTCGAGCGAAGCCACACGTAAAACTTTCAAAATAAAGCAAAAAGTGAGATGATACTTATTTTTTCGTGCAAATATTGATGTCAATAATAGAGATATTAATCTGTTAGATTATTCCTGTCCGACATGAAATTCGCGGTTCTTCAACTACTCTCATTCGTTTAAAAAATGAGTTTTTTTAACATTTTTCGAGGTTTTTGTAAGTATTTTTTTGAATCTTTGGTTTCGGAAAAGTGACTTAACAACTTTTCAATACTCACAGGTTTGTAGAGCTCGACGAGCTCTATCGAACTATGTAAAGATGTTCAAGAAAAAATGTTTATTCTGCATTGGAATGATTGGCGTCTTATCTTTCTACCCCAAAAAAGTGTACAATTTCTAAAACTTTCTTAAGTTCGATACTAAAATGCTTTGATAAAACTTACTATTTAGCATCAATAAATCCCGTTTTCGACGGGCTTTCATCTGGTATGATATTCATTACTTACCCTATTCGCAATTACAGCGTTACCCCCTGGAAAAACATTTTTACGCACCCTGTACTGCAAAGTGCTGTCTCGGTTTCCAAAAAAACCTATTTTTTTCCAGAGTACGTTGTGTTGTTAGTGGCTATAGATGAGAGATATTAATTTTACGTTACTAGTTATCCGATAACGATAACCGGCAAAAAAGTCTGATTTCATGCAAGAAAGACTATTGTCGAAGGTAACGGTACTTACAACGTTTTATCAACGGTTTTCAGGATCAACTAACAGGTGCGTCGAAAGTTTCCGGATAAAATGTTTGTTCATTTTTGGCCCGCTTGAAAGTGCTTCCGACGAGTCAAAATCGATGGGTTCAGACCAGAATTTTGTGCTCTTACCGAATATGGGCTTAGAAATGTTGCATCAGTTTTTGTCAAAAGTAATGAGATAGTCTTTGAAAAGTCCCAAAAATTAGTTTGGACGGGACGTGTGGGCCGAGGATTCTGGTCAAAATGTTTGTTCATTTTGGCCTCTTTGGAAGTATTTTAGATAAGGCAAAACTATGCATTAGCACCGGAATTTTGTGCTCTTGCTGAATATGAGATTAAAAATGTTGTATCAGTTTTTGTTCGAGTGTAGTGAGGGAATCTTTGACAGGCCCAAAAAAATTAGTTTGAATCGTGAATAGCTAGACCTTTGCTAAGCCCGATAAGTCCCTTTTTGAAGACTCTAAAAATTGTTGGAGTCGGTCGTTTTGTAGAGCGGACACGCCTTTACAAAATGTGATATTGAAGTAAGCTGTAGCTTTTAACCAAGTAAACCTATACGCATTTTGTCAAGAGCTACTTTCTACGTAAAACACGTCTTGGTCAAAAAGTCGATTTTTCAAAAATGAGGGTTTAGGAAAACGAAAATTGAGGCGCCTTGTCGAAAGACAAAAAGCCTCAAATAGTACATCTTGTAGGGTACCTTCTGCTCTACAACCTGATATATTAACAAAGGTTTCAACTGTTAGTTTCGAATCGCAATAGTGAAAATATAAAAATGTGTGAAAAAATTTTCCGTCCAAACTTATTTTTTTGGCCTTTCAAAGATTATTTCACTACTCTCGGACAAAGTCTGAGAGAAAATTGCTAGGTCCATATGGGAATGAGCACAAAATTCTGGTTCTAACCCACAGTCTTTTACCCGTCGGAAATACTTTCAGGCGGGCCAAAAATGAACAAACATTTATCCGGAAACTTTCGACTCACCCGTTAATATTAATCTCAGGACAATTTATCCAATTTTGTGGACTTGAGACTTTTCATCAAAAAAAAGCTATTTTTCCTAGAAGTTTTTTTTGCCCTGTTGTAAGGACAAAATATAGTGTTGTTCGGACCGTATAAAAGGAGTTCCCTATCAATTCTCTAATCGCGCGAACAGTACAAGATACAGAGGTACAAGAAATATAGAGAGAGGGTAGATATTGACGATGACTGGAAAGGTGAAGGCGAAACACACATAGGCGTATCTTTCGCTGAAGGTGAGAACAAGACAGACAGGGCATCTCTATCTTTGAGGACAGAGCGAAAAAGACCCATGACGTCCCTCTGACGGAGGGTGAAGTGAACTAAAGACCCAGGGTGTCTCTCTCTCGCTCCAGGTGAAGGAACTACAGACCTAGGGCGTCCCTCTGACTGTCGAGGCCACGACACAAATTGCTTGGGATTTGAATACTTAAATAGTTGAATTGGGGAGTTTACTCATCGAATTCAATTAATAAATTTGATACTGCTTCGTAGATACTAATTGTTTTTAGTATAAGCATGATTGTTCGATTCAGAATCTCTTTCGCTACCGATACAATCGACAATGTGTTTTGAAGAAAACATAGTATTTGTCGAATGAAAAATTCAGTTTTGAGGAACTTATGCGTCTGTAACATTCAGCGAAACTTTTACTCAGATAGCTTCGTGTTTTAAAGTGAAATAAATATCTTTAAAGGCTTTTGTCAGGATCTACTCTCTCCTAGTTAGCAGTAGACATAGTCGACAGTAGATCCTTCTTTTACTAGTTAGTTATATTCTGTTTCTGTCCTTTACCGTTCATATTGTTTCTTCTTTTTTCTCATTCATCATGTGCTGACGTGTCTCCTTTTTCGTGATATACAGATAAAGTCGTCAGTAATACATTTACTTTCTTTTATTTTAACTAGTTGCACACATCGCGTGTATACTTTCTGTACTGATATCATTTTCCACTTTGGTTTTATTCATTTTATTCATTTTTTTTATTTTAAAAGAGTACATACATCGTCGAACATTTATTCACTCGATTGGAGAAAGGGTGATCATTCTTAGTCCCTCTAGTTTCTGTCAGCATTTCTGTCAAGAGAGCCCGGACCATTAGGATAGCCATCAGACTTTCTGAGTGGCATCTAGAGACAGAATAATATCCTCCTGGCAGCTAGAAGGTGACTGCTTTGCTTTGCTTGTATAAGTCGAATTTCGGCGCTGTGAATAGAACCTAGATACAGAAGTAGATGTCTTATGTGATTGTATGAAATGGTCGTATATATGGACGTCTATGGACATTTTTCTTCTTTAGGATAAGAGTCACAAATAATAAAATCTTGCCCGCCCTCAACGATAAATGACAAAAAAATTATTTTTTCCTAACTTACAGCAAAGCCATCTTAAATTATTACGTTTATAATGATTCATAAATGGCAAAGAAACCTTTTATTCTTTGGTGAATGTGGGTACGGCTGATTTTTTAAGAGCTCAATTTATATTATAAGTCAAATTAGGCAGCTACTTCATATCACGACCTGAGGCTATTTTTCACCGTTCAGTGTAAATGTTTCATCGCGTTCGAATAGTTTTAGATATCAAGTTTGAGAGTGGAAACTCGTCAGAAAGGAGAAATGAAAAGTTAACATATTAAAAAGATGAGGAACAATATTTTTCGCACAGCAACTGTTTTATCGGACGATTCTCAGTTCTCCAACTGAATGTGTGTCATTTCGAGTGCATGAATCAAAAAAAACTTTAGTGTCCGAACACCGTCATTATCTGTAACTGAAAAGTGATTTTTGAATAACAAATATTCTAATTTCAAGGTTTTTAATAAATAAATACTTTTCTATGGTGTATTGATGACTTTTCGTCTGTTCTAACGTTACGTACGCATTAACACTATGATATATGTAGGTTTTTTCGTGTGCTCCCAAGAACAGAACAAACAAACCATACGAAAACATGCCTTCTTTTGCTACTTTTTTGCTACGCCTTTCTATTGCTCTTCTGAATCCTGTATCAGAAAAAACTGACGAAGAAATCTAACAAATGATAGCCTCGCATTAGAACTCAGCGGAAACCAGCTATTCTTTTTCTTTCTGTTCTGCCTATTTTTTTGTTAGTGAAATCAAGAAGAAGCATTTTTTTCAGTTGACTCTTCTGATAACTGTGATCGACGTGATGGGTGATGACGACGATAAAAAATATTTGAAAAAATGTTTGAGAGACACAATTGATGCTGTTCATGAAGCAATAGCACAATTACGACCAAATCAACAAAATGCACAAGCATCGACTACTGATATTCATTCATTTACATTAGATAAATCTGAAGACACTCAGATGGATGTTCTTAGAATGGAAATTGAAAATACAGTTAAAAATAATGCCAAACATCTAAGCGATATTTGTCGTAATTACCTATTCAATTTTCTACAACAATATCACTTCGATGAAAAAACAAGAAAATTTACGAATTCATTCAATATGGACAGTCTTAATCCATTCGAACATGATCTAGAAGCTGCATTAGCTGCAATAGACGCATTTACTGCAGCATGGAACGGAGACAAGGATACAGTATTACAGTTCGTAAACAAGTATCCAACACTTAAGGACAAACCTGGCCTACACGGAACAACTCTATTATATTCAGCAGCCAAAAATAATCGTGAGATACTCGTTAGATATCTTGTACAGGAAGTTCATTGCGCTATAAATGCTCAAAATCAACAAGAACTTGAAGATGTATTGCAAATACATTTAGCAAGTACATATCGTAACATAAGCCCATCAGCTGGTTCAACAGCACTTCACGGTGCTTGCTTCAACGGACATTTGAACATTGTTAAATATTTGATTAAATATAATGCTGATTATTTCATTCGAAATCAACTACTAGAAACACCACTAATGAATGGACAAATTTATTCACAGATTCAGGCATTTTTTGAAGATTTTCTTATCCTCGGTTATTCTGTCACAACAAAAAAGTTACCCGAAAAACCAATTTCAGAAAGAACAAAAGACGAAATATTTGATTGTATTTGGGAATATACATCATCAGATGATCAACAATGGATCCGATTTTCGCATGATGAGTCAAAGGAATTAAATAAAGCATTAATAGTATTACCTGATCAGGAAATGCAACGTACAGTCTATTTGGGTACACCACCAAATACTTTTAGTGCTTCAATTATTGAATTTCGGCGATCTGGTAAAAATCGTGACCCAAAAAGTCATCGTGCATGGGTTCGATGTCGTGGTTCATCAATTATCAATTTTGATTGTTTTTCACGATGGCAAATAATGCTTTTCAAACATAATGAAATCACAACTCAAAGCGAACCATCTATGAACATAGTTGATATACCAACAATTTACGATAGCCACTTTCAATTACAGCTCAATTGTTGGTATAATTGTACGAGAAATATCAATTCACATCTTGACAATGCGATGAATTATCGACGAAAACGAATCACTTTCGATCTACAATTTGTAGGAAATGATTTGGAATTCGACCTTCAAACATTTACATTTACAAATAGAGAACAAAC